CTGTCTGGCTGTCTGTCTCTGTCTGTCTCTGTCTGTCTCTGTCTGTCTCTGTCTGTCTCTGTCTGTCTCTTTCTTTCGCCAGGGCTATTGGCACAGGAGTTGCCCCCTGTGCCCGCGCGCTGTCGCGCTCTGTCTGTCTCTGTCTGTCTCTGTCTCTGTCTCTGTCTCTGTCTCTGTCTCTGTCTCTGTCTCTGTCTCTCTCTCTCTCTCTCTCTCTCTCTCTCTCTACCAGGCTTGGAGGTTGGGGATGTCCTCCCCTCCCCCCGCACGCGCACGCGCACCTGCTGGTCGAGGCAGGTTTTGGATTCTCAGCGGGGGTTTTTCCCCCGTTGAGCTCGGCTATACACGCCTCTTCGAAACATGGCATGGGTCACCCCCTGTCGCAACCAGGGAAACCCAAAACAACACTCAGTGCAATACCCCGGTGAAGTTGTCCCTCCCCCATGCCATGCTCGTAGTGCAACTGTCCGGCTTCACTCTGAACTCAAGCGAACTAAGGCCCCGGCCAAACAAAGTTACCGACACACTTTCCCCCCCGGTCAGTTGTTAGAGGCTTGGTTGTTACTCTACTGGCTCTCTGCTCCCCTTTCGGAACGACAAGGCTAGATTCGAAGTACCTGCTAGACAACCGCGAAAGGTTCCTCCTGGGTCACTTTGAGCTGCTGTCTACACTCCTTGCCTTCTGGGGGTGGTGCAAAGAAAACAAAGGTATCAACTGCCAAACTCCTAGGCGAAAACAGCTTGTGGATCACAGGACTCCCCCTTTGATTGGGCAAGGTAGCTGACTTTCTCTAAGCTAGGTCCCCTTCCGGTTGCCCCCCAAGGCCTTGGCCTAACAAGGAAGTAACTACTGGGGCTTAGCAGGAAAGTTTGGGAACTACTGGGGCGACTGGCAAGGTTGCTGTTCGGCCCGGCTCCCCCACATTGGAGGTTGCTCAACTTCTGCTGGCGCCCCCAGGATTGCACAGGTAGGGGTGGTGACAGTGAAGTTACCTAGGGGACGGGTCTACAAGGCACCAGCTAAGAAGCGTCTACGGCGGTGGCTCCCCTCACTACTCAGCTCACTAGACTCACTCGTCGCAGACCGTGTGCCCCCCAAGGGCTCTCCCTCTGGTAGTGCAGCTCCAGTTCCCCCGTTGAGGGGTTGACTCCAAGCTTGCCACGGGACAGTTGTAGCCATGCTCGCTGCCGGCTCTGGTTCCCCCAGCTCTTCTGCGGGCGCTTGCTCCCCCAGATCTTCTGCGGCTTCGGCCCCCTCTGCCGTGTCATGGTCCAGCTGTGTTTGCGCGGCCAGCTGTATGGCGGCTTCCAGGCTCTCCGTCACCATGGCTTGGGCCTGCGACGGCGAAGCACCGACAAGGCCGATCCATTACCCCGCTGGTTGAGGGTTCCCCCTCGCAAAGTTGGTGCCCTCCTCGTCGTTCGTAGGTCTCTCCACGTCTGGTCCATGAGCTTCGGCTGGCTTGGCAGGGAGATCGCCCTGCTCAGGCTTCCCCCCTTGTGCTGGTAGTGCTGGCTGTTCCGGTAGTGGACCTCCATCATCAGTTTGGGTCTCTTCGTCGGCGGCCATGCTTCCCCCGAACATGGCTTGTTGTGTGGCCTCCGTCGCGCGCAAGAGTTGTAGGGCTAGAGGCACTTGCTCGTCCACCAAGGTCGGCACGAGCTTGCGGAACTGGGCGGCGGCGTCAAAGAGGAGGCTCGCCGCTGACATGGCTGTTGTAGTTCTTCTCCCCCCTTCTTCCCCTCCTTGGGCCAGCTGCAAGACGTCGGCCGGGTGAACAGGGGCTGCGTGGTCTCCTGCTCTGGCTCTCTTCGGCGGCGGGTCTTCTGCTGGTTCCTCCCCCCGCTGCTCCAGGAGCGTGGCAGCGGGTGCGGTGAGATCTCTGAGCTCCCCCCAAAGCTTCGGGGTGTTCCAGCAGCATTCGGCCCTCAATGAGGAGTCCAGAGCTGCTGTCAGCAACATGATGGCTCTCTGGAGGCATCGAGCCCCCCACTGCAGCTGTTGCAAGGAGACGGCTGCAGGCATGGGTTCATGCAACTGAACTGCTCCCTCCTCAAGCACTCGGATAAGGTACGATAAATCCTGCTGCCACTCTTCTCTTGTGAGTCTCCCCCCACCTCCATGCAGATGGTGGGTAAAGGAGGAAAGCGCATCCACCAAGTAATTGGAGTTGCACACCCCCCTTGGCCTCCCCCGCTTGCACGTGTCGGGCACTATGCCGGTTGGGTACATCAACGCTAAGAGTTGTGCTGCTACGTCACAGTACGTGGTGATGGTCGCCGAGGTGTCCCCCTGCATGCTTCCGGCCGTGTCGTGGATAAGCTGGATTTGGTGGCTAACCGCCAGGGCCAGGCTATCTGCTGCTGCGTTGCCTGCTCCCCCCCCGGTTGTTGTTGCGGCTTCCCCCGTCGAAGAGCTGCCTCTGTCGTGGTGGGTGGGGCTTCTGTGTTCTGTGCTGCGCTGCATCAGTTCTGTATGCTCGGGCTGCGGCGCGGGGTGGGGGTGCGGGCCCGTGCTGGGCGGCTGCCAAGCTTGCGTCCGTCTCGGACTTGCTCCACCCACGGCGCTGGCGTGGGCGTGGGGTGCTGCTGCTGTTGCTCTCTTTGCCCCCTTCTCAGGGTGCGATCGTCCTAGAAGGCCGGTCGTGCTGCTGCTTGGGTTGGGTCGCTGTGGCTGGAGGGCTGTCCCCCCGTGTTGCTGGGCTGCTGTGCCGAGCTGCTGCTGCTGCTGGGCTGTTGCCACCCCCCTGTCGTGTCCTGGGCCGCTGTTGGCTGTGGTTGTGGAGGCGGCTCTGTGGAACTGGACGCTGGTTGCGCTGCTTGAGTGGAAGCCTGCGGGTGCGCTTGCTGTGGTCCGTGCTGGTAGTGCCCCCAGCCTTGAGAGGGTGTCCCCCCTCCGGGGCGGTAATGTGGGTGGTAGGTCTGCTCCTTAGTGCCGGGCTGTGGTTCGGTGCGTGGTTGGGCGTGGAGGTTGAGGACTGCTGCAAACTTCTGTCTGTCCTCCTTTTTGCTATGGATCCTCCGTCTGGCACTCTCCCCTTGGGTGTCTCCGGTCGCCGGTTGGGTGCTTGAGCTTGCCCCCGCTGTTGCTTGTCTCGGCGTTGTGGGTGGGGTGATGTCCCCCCATTCTGTGTGCATGATCTTATGCCGCTTCAGCCACTGCTTGATTCTGTACTTGATACGCTTGTTTCTCGTACGCTGCTCCCCACCTCCTTCGTGCTTCCTTTGCTGGGGCCTAGTGCGGCGCGGGCTGCGGCGGCGGGGTTGTCCCCCCCCCTGTGTTGTTGGCTGCCACTGCTGGGGTTCCCCACCTGTCTGTGTTGCTGGTCCCCCCTGCTCTGCCTGCTGCTGCTGGCGGCGCTCCTGCTCGTCCTCTTCTTCGGCTGCTGCTGGGGTGAGGACTCGCTCTATGTAGCTTTGGCCGAGTATGCCTTGTGTGGCAAGCAAGTAATGTTCTTTCATGGTCATCCCCGGCAACCCCCGAGCGCCCGGTGGTAGGTATGGGCTCCCCCCTTGGCCACTGCTTTGGCTGGGGACGTGGTGGTGCGGGTCTGGGCGGGGCCGCTGCCGGTGTTGTCAGGCTGTGCTGCGGCGCTCTCCCACGGTGGTGGTTGCATGTGGGGTGGGGTTTGGGAGGAACTGGCCGCCGTGGGGTCGTGGGGGTGCTTTGGGCTTGTGGTCGACCGCCCAGTCCAAAGGCGGCGGCTCGCCGATGCTCCTGTGTACATTCCCCCGGCTGGTAGCTGCTGCTCGGCTGCATAGTAGTAGACCGTATTGTGGTGGAGGGGTGCCCCGCTCGTGGCTGCTTGTTGTGGGATCCCTGTGATCCCTGCAGGGGTGCTGTGGCGGTGAGCCGAGTTGGCTGTTGCCAATGTTGGGTAGTGGGGTCCTGTGGCCACCGCCTCTGCTGCAACTGGTAACCCCCCTCTGCCTGGCTGCTGTGGTGCGCTGCTGCTGGCTGGTCCGCTAGAGAGGCTCATGCTGCCTGCGGCGCCCCCCACACGGTGCTGTGCTTGGGTTGCTTCTTGCGGCAGTGTGCCTGCTGAAGTCGCCCATTGTGGGTCGCGGGGGGGCAGAGGGCCCGCCCTCGACCCACGTCCTTCTGTGCCCATTCTTGTCCCTCTCGGAGAGACGCTCCCTTGGTTGTCGCCTCCCCCTCCATACGGGGGGCGAACAGTGGCGGCTGAGGGCGGAGCCCAAAGAGCTGCGAGAAGCACCGTGGCTCCCCCCAGCAGGTAAGCTCCATTCCCCTTCATCATCACGATTGAAGGAGCTTGGTTCCTGAGTTCGCTCGGGCCTCGCTGCGGCAAACGGTCGCAGTCGAGGGCGTGCAGTAGTCCCCTCTGGCAGCAAATCAGACATGCATGTAATGTCACAGAGTGCTGTCACTGGTCATGCACAGTGCAAAAAGTAACTGACTGTCTCTCCTCTCTGTTGCTATGCTTGTGGTTGTGAAAAGTGGCTTCCCCCTTTTGTCGCCCCGCCCCGCCCCCCCCCCCCGTGGGCTGCAAGCACTGTCTCGCGGAGCGTCATCCGTCACGCGGCTCGGGCTGGGAGGGCGGGAGGTGCGTGAGCTGGTGGGTGTTGTTGCGAGTTGGGGTGTAAGTTTTGTAGTGAGTGCTGGCGGCCGCTGGCCCATGGTACGTCAAAACGGTCGACAAAGCTTGCTGCAGTGCTTGCCACCTGCCCCTGTCTTGCGCCACCTCCCCCCAGCGTGTGCCTGCAATGCTCTCGAGGGCTCGTTCGATGTCCCCCCCGGGATTGAATCTCCCCGCATGCTTGACGCGCTGCCTGGGTGGGAGCTGTTGCTGTATTCTCCAGTATCGAAGGTTCTTCCACTCCAGCATGGCTGCAACCTGTTCCCCCCCCCTGGCCAGGTGCCCCCAGAGCCTCCAGATTCGGGTGAGGATGTGCGTCGACCATCTTTCCTTCTGTTCGCGGTGTAGGTGGACCCTAGCTACTCTGAGCGTGCGTACATGCCACTCCTGCCAGCTCTCTACCGCCCCCCTGCGCAAGTGTAACATCTCCCTGAGGTGTAGGACCAGTGTAGGAGTTGGATGGCGTTCGCTCCCCGGAGCACTTGTGCATGAGCGGGCCAGCTTTCTGCGGCGTAGAGCGCGGCATTCCGAACCAGGGTATCGTACGCGACGAGCCGGGGTCGGATGCTGGTCCTCGCTTTCAAGACCCGCTTGTGCTTTGCAAAGGCTGCTCTGGCTCGCCGGGCCATCTCCCCCACAATGGCCGTGGTTTGGTCGCCGAAGGTGATGGGGCTCCCCAACGCGGAGATGATGGTCCCGTGGGGTTGGCAGGGCACTCTCCCCCCTTGGATGGTGAAATCCCCTCCTCCCTCTGCTTGGCTGTAGAGTATGGCTGTTTTGACGGGGTGGATGCTGAGTCCATCCTGCTGGAGTTCGTCCTCCAGGTGTGTCAGTAGTTGCTGCAGGTGTGGCTTGTGCTGGCTCCATAGATAGGTGTCGTCGAGGAAGGATCCCCCGCAACTAGGAGGAGGGGGCCATTTACGTGGATCGGCGGGCTGGGGTGGGGTTCTCTGGATTGCTCGGGAGAGGTCCTCTGCGATGATCCCCCCGAAAAGATCGGGCGAATCGGGGGAGCCCTGCCTGATGCCATTCGTTTGGGGAATGGGGGTAACCACATCCCCTACCGCGACGTTGAGGGAACGGGTTTGGAGTATGGCATGGATGTTGTCCCCCCCCCGGTGGCACTGGAAACCGTTGTGGCGGGATCCCCCCCACCAGTTCTGCAAGGCTGTGTTGCCAGACACTGTCCCCGCCCGGGCCAGGAGGAGCTGTGCTGCCCACTTGAGGAACGTGGACGAAAGTGTAATGGGGCGGATTTCCCCCCATTCCAGGGGTGAGGGGATTTTGGGCAGCAGGACGGTTATCCCCTCCTCGATTCCACTTGGGATCTTGCCCACATAGAGCATGTCACTGAGCATCTCCCTGATTCGCTCCCCCCAGGCCACATCCTCCAGCAGGGTTCGGGCGGCTTCATGTGAGACCCCGTCGGGCCCCGTGCTTTTGTTGCGCGCCCACTTGTGTGATGTAGCTGCAAGCTCTTGTGCGGTGAAGGGCTCCCACGGTACGTGTTTGCATCGCCTGCGTAGGGACGCTCGCAAAGTCTCCAGTCGGGCTCCCCCCACGGGTTGGACCTTCGCAAAGATCCCTTTCATGTGTGTCGTGAGGGTGTGTTGCCATTGGGGGTCATCAGTCAGCTGCAGTTGCCACCCCCTGTGAGTCTTCCCCTGCTGCAGGGCTCTCAGTGCCTTCCAGTCCAGGTTGGCTGCTTGCTCTGCGAGGCCCTTTTGCCATGCTCTCCGCTCTTGCTTGTGCTGCCTGCTGACGGCTTTCCAGGCTTGTCTGGCGGGTGCCCCCACCGGTGCTGTCCGGGCTTGCGCTCGCAGCCGGTGTAGGTGTGTGCTCTCGCGGAATTTGCGCTGCTCTTTCCCGGGTATGGTGATGGCCTTGGCCAGCGTGGCAATGGTGGTGTGAGGGTCCTTATTTTGGGGTGGAGGGACACGGAGCAATGCTTGGATTTGCTGTGGTGGACGAAGCCGCCTTGGCCCCCAAGTGGACCCGTGTGCCCCCCCCCCCTTTGCGCATGCTCATGGGGACGGCCACCCCGTCATGGTCTGATGCTGCTCTGTCTTTGCACTGCACGACCTCGCCTCTGCCCGCCGTGGCCCCCCTGACGCCAACGTAGTCGTGCCTAGCAGCCCCCCCCACTGTTGCAACATGTCCTCAGTTTGGGGAATGGTGGCGTGATGTGGCACGTGGCCGGATAGAATCCTCAGCCGGGTTGTGTTGGTGACGAGTGTGGTAAGGATTGCGCCCGGGAGTACCGTGGTTTGCTGATGCTTGTGGTGGGTTTTGTGGGCTATTGCTTCTCCTCTGAACTCTCCCTCGATCTTGCCGAAAACGATCTGCCAATGATCAGACTCTGCATGTTTGCTCCCCGCGTCTGTGATGACCTCTTGCAACATCACAAACTCGAAGCGCTCAAAGTCAGCTTCCCCCCGAAAGTTCTCGAGGACCTGTAGGACATTGTTTGCCGTAAGTCCCCCGACATTCCAGGAAAAGCACCAAAATTGCGGCCTTGAGGCGGTAGTAGAGCAGACGCGCGTCGTGGTGTTCCCCGTCTTCAGCCAGGCACTGCCGCTGCTGTATTCGACTTCCAGGCGCTCTTTTTCCCCCCCCCAGGGACAGGTAGAGCCTCTTGACTTTGGCCGCCATCCTGGATCGCCTTCGACGTTCTGGTGGTTGTGACATAGCTATCCAGACCTTTCTGGTCCCTCCATCACGGCGCTCCCCCAGGATGACATTGGCCCCCCTGACTTTGGAGATGACCTCTTGGATGCGACTTCTCCGGCTCTCGGCTGTCTCTCCCGGGTTCTCGGGGATAGGCAAGATCGCGTATCCCCGGCGGATGCCGGGCACGAAGAGCCCCCCGGTGCTGATGGGTGCTTGCATGCTCTTCAGAATATCTTCGACGGCCTCTTTGGTCTCATGGGCTTCCTGCTCCGGGTCCCAGCCGCCGATGATTAAGGCCGGCTGCCTCCCCTGCTCGCTTGGAGGGGCCGTGCTCCCCCCGGCGATGCTCGATGCTCCCCCGCCCTTCTCAAGGCGCTCCAAACGTGCCTGCACCTCCCTGTTTGCTTCTTGCAGCTGCTTGAGAACGTCCTGCTGGTAGTGGTACTTCCCGGTCATGTCCTCCAACAGGTTGATGGTTTGTTGCATTTTAGTGGTGACTTGGGACTCCACGTTGTCCACTCCAGCCACCACTGCTTGGACATCGTCACGGAATCCCCCGACTGCACTCTTGATTTCCCCCCGGATCGCCTCTCGGATAAGGTCCAAGGTAAGTGGTTGTCCTCCCTCTGCAGGAGCCACGTCCCCAACACGTCGCTTCTGAGGCGATGTGCCGACGTGGTCCACGGCCATGTTGGGCTCGGCCCCCGGGTTCGCACTCGCACTCGCCATCTCTCCTTTGGCGTGGGCAAGGGTCACTAGGTCGCGGGCCTGGACGTAGATAGCTCGATCACACCGAAGGCGAGCTTTATCTCCCCCTCAGGTAGCCCTGGATCGCTCCGAAGGCGAAGGTTCTGGCGTAGGCCGCCGATCACTCTGAGGCAGCAGTTCACAAAGTCCCCCTGGAGGCACAGGTAGGCCGCCGATCCCCTGCAGGAGCACGCGTGCCGATCTCACGGTCGAGGACCCCTACGGAGAAGACGCGTAGTGTTGCGAACCCCCCGGTCAGGTCGATGGGCACTCAGGCAAGCACGCTCTCTCCCCTCACCGTCAGGTTGCAGCCTCTCCCTCCACGCTGGCTCGAGGCTTGAGCACTCACGGCTTGAGCCAAAATG